GCACATAACACCATAGGGATGACAATACTTTGTGTTTGTAAGAATCTCACAACACATTGGAGCAAGCCGTAAGCGAAAACACCAGGGATAAAATACAAGGCATAATGACCAGCTTCGTCAGATATACTAGGATCTTGGCCTAAAAACTTGAGAATATGGCCAGTGTTTGCCCAAATGACTGCAAGAGGTATGCTTACAAGTGAAAGTATAATCATAGCTCTCTGCATGTGAATGCCAAGCATATGATACTGTTTTGCTCCATAAGACTGTCCACAAAATGTGTCCAATGCACTTGACATCCCCATCTATTTAGAAACAGAGAAGAAAAAATTCCATTAGAAGGCTACCTAAGCTATACTAGATTACTAACAGCAAAGTAAAAGATTGTTTTAACTTTTAAGAAAATGTAAATCAGGTCAAGTATAATTAGCAAGCTTCTGAAAATGAGGCGCATATAACAACTTGTGCAAATCCATCTCCGCAATGGGAGAGTAAAGTAAAAAGGCATTGTTCAAGTTTATATGGTACGTGCCCTTATGGGGCTCCATGTGGCGTAGCTCGAAAAACAAATTCATTCCGGCCTAAGCCTAATAGAGATAAGAGCGTATGCATCACAGCACTGAATCAAGTGCTTCTTTTACTAAATGGGTAAACTAGGGCATTTAAAAGTGGACAAAATAAGCAACAACTAAGTTGGATCATCGTGAAATTATAATAGAGTAGTAACTAACGAAGATGGGTTTCTTCAAAAACAGATCTTTTTGAGTTAAGCAAGTAGAAAAAAAGCAAAGGAAGGTGAAGAACTACTGACCAATAGACTGATACCAGTAACAGAAGTGAAGGAGTTAGCCATGGAAGCACCAGAAAGGGGCAATTCTCCAAGATGACCCACAAACATAATGGCTATAAGCTGTAAAGAAAACTGCAAAAGGTTAACGCTCACTAAAGGTCCTGCTAGCCATACTTGTCTCTTCACTTCCTCAACAATCTCTTCCTTGCTAAAACCACCACCATTTTTTCTTTCTCCATCGAGAATACTCTGTTTTTCTCGGTCATCTATCAATGGAGTCTTTACAGAGGATGATTTTCCATATTCAGCTTCCATTTTTGGTCTCCTCTGTATTTAGGACCTCCTTTCAGTCTTATGGTTGTTTGGCAGAGTACAAGAAGAAGAATAGGAGTAGGTTAATAAATGCTGACATTTGTATATATATATATATATAACGTACGGTAAATTACAAATCAAAAAATTTATTTTTGGAAAGTATAGTATAATATCCTGTCGTAAGCCGTGTTTTAGGCGTTTGAATACAATATTAATTTTATCGAATGGCACAATATCAACTATAGCAGCCTCCTGTTATCATCATCAAAATCGTGATGGAATAAGTGGTTTAGAATTTGAGAATTATTAAAATATGAAAAAATATATACTAAAAAGAAAAATATATTACTTATTATTTTATAAATTGATATAGAAAACATGGTAGGGACACTTGTTTTCTTGATGAGTTTTTTTTTTTTTTGTGTAGATTGAAATTAATTAAAATTTAAAACTGTTATTTACATGAGGAAAACTATGTGAATAGCACGAATAAGATATTTCGATGTCATCGTTTAAATTTTGAAGTCATCAAGAAAATTCGTAGGAAAATGCGATATCCATACCAGAAAACGGAAGCATGCTTCTCATGGTTGCCAAAATGACACATTGTAGAGATTCACTAATAATACATTTTTCTGATAACAATCCAACAATCGCCGATAGGTAGATTCATCCTAAATCTTCATAAATCAATTGATCCATTTTGTCTTCTTAATAAAAATAAAATAAATTATTGAAGCTCAACAAAATTCAATAATAATATTTTAAATTTTTTTTTGATCAAATCAATCCAAATTGTTAAGAATTGATAATATAAGTTAAATAAAATATTACTCATCAATACCAACAGCAAGGATATGATTAAGGATGGAGAAATTTCGACGAAAATATTTTTTAAATAATTATTTTTAGATAGATTAAAGCTTAAATATCGGTTTTCAAAAAGCTATTAAGATAAATTATAACAATAATAACATATTTAATATAATTTTATAAATCAATAATTTTTCGATTCAAAAAAAATAAATAAAAGTTAAGCATATTTAGAAGGAAAAATACATTATAGCACATAAATTCCTTCAGTATATCATTCCCCAAAAAACATCAAGGTTCATTTATTCCTTGTCGCACAAGTTTCAGATTACTTTTGAGATAATAATTAGCAGATTTGAATGTCTAGAAGACAGTGACATTGGATTAACAATAATTAATGTAAACAAATACAAGTATTAAACCTAAGGGTAATTGTGACCTTTTCAAAAAAAACTTTTACATATATAAAGTACTCATTTTGTCCCAAACTTTTTTTAAATAAAATTTAAAAAAGAATGACACATTTTTCTATTAAGTAACAATTTTAACTATAAATCACAAATTTTTATCATTCATTTTGAGTCACAAGTTTTATAAGTCTTTTTTCTTTTTTTTATTGAACTCCGTATCGAGTCAAACTTTCTCATATAAAATAAATTTATTTAGTTCGATTCGATTAATTGATGACCGACTTATGATTTTAGTTTTGCCCTGTTTTAGCTTATAAATATTTTTTATGTTTTCAAATACATAAACAAATGAAAAAGATTGATAACTCAGTTTAATCAGCTTATAAATCAAATCAATTTTCTTCTTATATAGCTCACAAATTTCTCCTTTTTTTCACTTAGAGTTTTCTACTGTAAATCTTATGCTAGGGTTGGACATAAACACCAAAAAATCGAAATATCAAATCGAACCAATTCTTTTTGATAGTTTGGTTTTTGATTTGATATTCGGTATACATTTTTGTATTTTTTGATATTTCAGTTTGATTTTTGGTATGTAATTTTGTGTCATTCGATATTTCGATTTACCGAAATATATTATATTATAATAAGTATTTATATTATATCAATTAATTATTAATGTTAAATAATAAATATTATAGTTTAAAATAAAAAATTAAAAAGTAAAAGACATTTCTTTAATGTAGCTATTTTTAGCCCATGAAGCTGAAAAATCAAACAAAAAAATTTATGAATTTTTAAATTTTAAAAAGCCCACTAAACAGACCCATTAAAAAATCGAAATAACAAAATCAAACCAAAATAATATAAACCAAATCGAAATAATTCAATTCGATATTTAATACACGTTGTACAAAAACTAAAAAAAAAATAAAACCAAATTGAATCAAATTACCAAATGTCCACGCCTATCTTATGCGATAGAAATATACACTCTGTAGACTTCTCTTTTACTTGTGCCTCTATAAAGTCTCAAACACGCAGCCAATAAGCGAGGAAAAACGTGGAAGCTTATGGTCAAGAAAGTATGGCGGCTCATACTCTGTTCTCCACGTAAATCTCAAGGGGAATTAAATATAAAACGAAAAAAAGACGCTACCAACGTTTTCTTTTTACTTTTGGGAGTTTGTTTTTGGAGTATATGATTTCAGGGAATATTTGAATTTTGAATGTCTTGATTTGATAAATTAAACATAGAAATATTTTTTTATAAAGAAAAGAATAATTATTAGACAAAATGAGAAAAAAGAAATATTTTATCTTAGGAAATGCCGTCGGCTAAATAAGAAGACAAATGTTCCTGTACACATAAGACATGATTCATATGTTTGTTTGGAACATACATGTGAATTTCCACACTCAATATTCAAGTTCTATTTTTTTTCCCTCTACCATATATTTCAGATAGAAAAAAGAGAACCGTCCTCTTTTTATATATATTAAGATAATCATGAGTCAACAATTTCGATATCTAGGTCGATTACGACTTTGGAATAACAATAATAATTAATATAAATTATGAACTTTATACTTTTTACATTTTTATAATCCTCGTACCTTCAATGTGTTCCTTGTGCCACAAATCAAACAACATGTTTTTCAAACCTATTGTAGAAGCTTCTGAAAACAGACCAATCCAGTAAAGTGAAGTTGTAGATCATCACACTATAAAAAAAAATAATTTTTAGCGGCATTAAATATTGACACTAATAAAGAATGTTAAAGTCTTTACCGGTATTAGTTAAATTTCATTAGAACTAATGTCGCTAAAAACATTAAAAACATACACAAAGAGTGACAATTATCGCTAAAAATACATATGTAGCGATAATTAAGAATTAAATACCGTCAATGTTCATTTTTATTATAGTCTTTGTTACCTCAACAAATTAACCACAACTACAGCAACTATTACTACCCCTGTTCCAAAAAAAAATTGGGACCGTTATGTCAATCGTTATTGAGATGCTACTCCAAATATCCATTTGGTCACAGATTTCCCAAATAATATTTGAAAAAAAGCTTGGCAAATAGTGTTTGTCCATATACTTTGTTATTATTTGACAAATATCCCATATTCCCAAATACAAAAAAACTAGTATTAGAGCCAAATCTCATTATTGGAATCTTTTAAAAATTGAACTTTTACCTCAAACTTTTATCATTACAAAAACATCCTCTATAGTTGTTGCTTACATAGTAATACATAATTTTTTAGGTTAGATCAAAGTAGTGATGAGATATTTGGTGAATGTTAAATGATGATGATTACTAATAAAAATGATGAACAATTGACTCAAGATAACAAAGTTATGTGTTTTGTCTACTTCACGATGTATGAAATGATGTTTGTTGCACTCACTCCAAATTACCACATTACTCTAGTGTCATAAATACTATTTGTTATTGTTGTAACAAAGATCCAATTGACTTGTAATACAAACTTATGACTAGTTTTGATATTTTAACACTTAGGGTATAAATCATATTTTTCTAAAGTGAAATATATTTCTCAAATATTATGGCCAAACACATACATGGTCAAATTTTCACCCAAATAATATTTGTCAAGAATATTTGAAAATCTACGAATAAACGCTAGCTAACTCATCTGGTATGAATATTATGCAAATACATATAAAATGATGTTTTCTATGCGATACACGGCGACCAATGCAATTGTATTTCAAAAGGATTAAGCAAAGGTCCAATTATTGGTATTTTTGGTGCATATATAAGATCGACTAGCATGTAAAATGGATCTATCCTCTACCGAACTCAAAATAGATTCATACAGCACAGCATTAAATAACATGCACCATGATCAGATGGAAATATAAAACTATAACGGATACCAGAACCAATAGCACAGAAGGCAGAGACTAAACTGGTGAACGTTTGCGCATATATAGCAGATCACATCAACTTAGCTCCAGGTTAATGCTGCAAAGGACCAAAAATTGTGTCTGCTGTCATCTAAGTTCAACTGACCTTTCCTCTGAACATTGTACAAAAAATAATAAATGTCATGCAAAATGATCAAGTCTCAAAGTACACCTAAAAAGCAAGTATTATTGAAAAGAACTTCAACAAAAACAATGTTTGATCACTTAAATCCAAAGTTCAACGACATACCCATAAGTGGAGTTTAGGAATGGTAGAGTGTACAGGGGCCTTGACCTTACCCCTGCCTCGTGGAGGTAGAGATGTTGTTTTCTAAAGACAGAAGTTGGCAAGTGACAGATAAACTCACTTACAACAGATATTAACACTGAAAAGATAACAGGAAATTCACCTTTTCAGTTATCATGTTGTTCACGCATTATTAGCAACAGTAGGAAGGGTGGTAACTTTCCCCACAGCAACAGTTTTCCCTGCACATAGTGGCAGTCATTGTGAATTTATGATCCCCTTTGCAAGGTAGTGTGTAAATTAAAGTATGACAAGCTTACAAGGCGAAATGGTTCTTTTTTCCTTCACTGCGAAGAGTGAACCGCCCAAGTGGTGGAAAATCAGAGAACTTCTCGATACAAATCAGATTATTCACCTGGCATGATTATTTCGGAAGATCAAGACCTGGCACACTATACAACAGAATGGAAAAGGCAGAAATGAAAGAGTAAAAGCGGTTAGTACTATTCCATATGTAAAGCATCACTGATTTTATCTTTACGTTGAGGCTAGGCACATATTTTGGAAAGCATAAATATTTAAAGCTAGTGAAAATAAAGGTAAATTACAATAGTAGAAATACTAAAGTGACCGGTTTCATTATTGTGTAAACATCAACTACTTTGCTCTCCCCTGTAGATAATTCCAAATGTCCATATTACTCGAGTAGACAAGTAACCTGAACACGACATAGAACGATTGCTCCGTTCTTCACAAACAAAGGTTTTTTCTTCATGGACTTCTTTTTCTTGATATCAATCTGCTGCATCAGTTCAACAATCTCGCATTCCTCAACAATAACATGAATATGCAACACAGCCTTGTAGCCAGCAGTAAAAATAGCCTGAGAGAGCACACAATGTTTATTTAATCACAGATGTATGAATGCACTTGCGCATTCTGAAGCTAATTAGAGTGAATGAAAGGCTAGGTTTACGTTTGACCCATACATTGAACAACAGCTCCAAGATCTGTAACTCTGCAACAAACTCAGTAACTGCAGGTATGGGCTTTGCTGCAAGTGTAAAATTTATTAGTTATCAATCTAAGCTTGAAAAAACAATCTATTACGAAGTTGGAGATTCATGCATGTGTACAGTACCTATGAATATCCTCTTTACAGTACATGAATATCTGGATTAATTTCACTAAATCAGTATTATATCTCCAATCTTATTATAATTGATTCTCAAACCAGATTATTTACTAAATAAGTGTGGTACCTCAAAAGACCATCAGTAATTTTCCTCAAATCAAGTACTGTAACTGCATGACTTCTATTTACTCAACAAAAAATTATTCAAGGCAAATGAAAGAAATTATTCTGTAATTAGCAAAGAATGTCTCATTAGATCATTTTATGTACGACTTCCCAACAGTTCCTCATATGTTGGACCAGAATAAATCAAAAGCAAAATATGAGTCTCGTATATGTGATTAATCAAAACCTTGCTAACAGGAGATGTCTTTTTCCATTAGCTCACTACATTAGCTTTTTGTTCATTTGCCTCGTTCACTAGAGTATTATTTTTGTCCTGATCTTATATTGGTAGAATCAGCTCATTTGTATTTCATTTGTAACATCTACTGTAAAAGACCAAAATCTAGGACTCACTTTGGGGGACATCATTGTCTAAGAATCAACTTAAGAAGAAACTAAGATTTTTTTCACCAAGTTAAAGACTAATGAATATTAAAAGACCATCCCATCATTTAAAAACAAATACGCTGACACTAAAGAAAATCACTTTCTTTCGTCTTATTTGTACCCTTCACGTCATCTAAACAGAAACTGTCAGACGAACTGCAACATATACACAACATAGGTTCCACATATAACTTTATTGTTTACTCTTTGTCCAGTTCTGTTAGAATGAATGGTCATCTTAAATTCACTAGGAGATATTATTCAGTAAGCCAGCCACACTGTTCCACAGGAAGTTCTTCCTCGAGCTCTCGGCTGACAGAAAGGTTAAGGGTGTCCGCTATGAAGAGAAAATATTTTGCTAGAGATATTTTTGGTGTTCTGCAAGTGAGCAGAAAATATCCATGCATTTTATACATAATTTAGGCAAACAATAAGGCAGATGCGGTCGAGTGAGGGTCAGAGGGGACAGGGTTTGGTGGAGGGTTAGGAGAGGGAGGAGGTGGTAGAGTAGTGATAGGGGTGTTGGGGGTGCGGAGGAGACAATCGACATGGTATGCCACTAATAAAACTTGTTTTACATACTTCCATTGGAGAAATCATTTTTCCTAATTTTAAGTAACTTGTTTTCTACAGAAAATATTTACAAAACATTTTGACTGACCAAACATGGAAAAATTGAAAAACATATGTTTTCCTCCATAGCAACACACCCCAAATGCAACACTTTTCTCCTTCCAAGGATTCTGTTATCGTATATGAGACATTCCATGTTTGTGAGAGGATAGTGTTCCCTTAAATAGGTAACTGGTTAGCAATATAAAACCTAATCTCAAACATATATTACACAGAACAAAGAGTGTGAATTCCATGTTATGGATAATATTAAGAAAACATAACACTGCACAAGACAAAACCAGACAAAATGTCCTCTTCCTCGATTTATAACCTAACTCGTACATTTTCCCCGGATCTGTGTATCTAACTCTATCTTCATCAAAGAATAGAGCAGGTACTTTCACAACAGCCTGTAGATAAACTTATGTGTGAAAATTCCTCCAAGTATTCAATATCACATAGCTGAATACAGTTAAAGTGGAAAAGCTCCAAAAGAAGATGACCTTATTTGGCATCATCAACAAACTATCATCTTCACAAATGCTCCCAGATTCTGTTTTACCCATAACAACAGTTCCCGGGTCTTTAAATTTGTCGATAATAGGAATTCTGCAAGAAAGGGAGATTCAACACTCATACAACTGCTAACAAGGGGGATACGGAGGACAAAAATCAGAAGGTTCTGCTCACTATCCAGTTAAGAAAATATGGAAGATGAGGCACAAAAAGTAGACGAGCCCTCTCACAAGAATGACCATATTCATACATAAATACACATATATAATAATATGTCTCATTTAGGACGAATGATACAATATCTTAACCAATTTCATCAATAACTAGAGTGCTGAAAGTTGGAAGTACAGAGGGAGAAAACAGAGACATGAAGATGCCAGCAGATCAGCAAAACTGAAGTACCTTAGTGGACCTTCAGGATCTTGCAGAGGAACTTCTACCGCATCAAAAGCTTCAAAAAGGCATGGACCATCCCACCATTCGCATATTCCTTCCTCCACCCAAGTTTTCATATTTGAACCTAGGAGACCAGAGATTGGCAGGAACTGAACATCTGCAACTCAGGTACAAAATTTTCAGAACCAAGTGCAGAAATTAAACATCTGTGAACACATGGAATTTTAAACAAAGTAAAGAAACAGATTGAAATACAATTGAATGATGGGAAATAAGATTCCACAATCAGCATTCTCCTTTGATTATACCAAAAGGTGGTTTTCTATAAGGTATCATACAAAAAAGAGGTATTGTTTCTGTAATGCTCATAACACAAGTGGCAGCATGAGAAACACTCTTTCCTTAGGTATGTCGAGGACTTCTAAAAAATCATTTTATGTTTACTTCAATGGCCAGATTGACAACAAATAATTTGATGTTCAACATGAAATTGAAAATTTCCCATGATTTATGGGAGAAATGGATTGGGAAACAAGTTTTAGTGTTCTGAATTGGTTATACACTAGAAGCAAGATAATTTTTGACATAGATCAGCTTTTCACCTTTAAACTCTAATGAGAGGGTACAAAATCGTAAAAGGCCAGGTCATTTTACTGGCTACTATAGCAAATAGATTTTCTAAGATGTTTCATTTTGGATTATAGGTTGCATAGATCATTAAAATACAAGAACTTCAGCCAACAATGACGTAATTTATGAGTAGATAATCCTCTTTACCTTTCTTTACATTGTATTGAGATGATTTTAAGAATGGTATCATTTTTCATTGGATCTCTTCATACCTTCAAAAGACAAATTTTAGAAATATTACCTAGAACAATTAATATTTCAAATGGCTGACAGAAACATAGATGGAAGAAGACCTTTCTTTAGACCAGACGACAGTAGGATCATCCATCTTATTTACAACAAGAAGGAGCTTAGAAACTCCTAGCGTCGTTGCAAGTTGAACATCTTCACGTGTTTGTCCACCTCTTTCATATCCAGTTTCGAGTTCATTCTTTCTAGCGGATATAACCTTCAGAATAGCCAAATCAAAGATCTGTGTACACTTCCGAAACCCATAGATAGAATTCATAAACTCCCATGGAGTTCAATGGCAAAAGGTAACCATTCATACCAATACACCTATGTTGGCTTGAGATGTTCCACTAATCATATTCGGGGTGTAACTCTTCTGACCCTGGTAATAAGGAAAAAAAAAATCAAAAACCGTAATGTAAGCTGACAGATGACATGTTACACAATTGTCTCACACATAATTGAAGTGGATACTTATTTTTACAGTTGCATTAATCATCATACTTGAGTCCTCAAATTACGAGCAGTAAACTGAAACGATGTCTCTCTTTAAAGGAACTGCCTCATTCATGTAAAAATAATGTGCTAAACTTCTCTCCTTCAAATCAAGCAGCAAATTTATTGGCATCCAAGGCTCAAAATCACAAAATTAGTAAACCTAAATGGAAGAAGATTTAACCGCCTTGTGACAAGAAACTGGAGTGAGTTCATGAGATACGATAGAAGACAGGCATCAAGCCTCATTTCATTTGAAAGATCAGAAAGACATGCATAAATGATCACATTAAATTTGATTTATCAGTATTAAACGCTGTTCATAAATGTATGTCCTAGCTCCTTACTGTAATTTCTCTTTCTTTCCGGAAGTCCAGATGAAAGAACCAAGCATGCAGAGAATTAATCTGTGCAAGAAGGCGAAAGAAATTTTCACAGAAAAGGCTCTTTCATAAGCACCTAGAAATTTAATGAAGTTATGCACTAACCCAGTGCATCAGGAATAATAACAGGTTGTGTAATTTCCGTGTTGTGCCTAGCATTCCCTCAACATCATGTTCAATAACCATATTGCACCAAAAATCTAACAAAAAAGTACATCTCTGTTTAAAGCTGATGTCTTCTTCAGCATTATCTATCACGTAAACAACCAAAACTTTCACCAATCTATTAATCCACCAAAATCCTTCGCAATAATATCATGAGTAATAATCATCCATAGATAAATCCTAATTTCTGTAGATATAATCACTACTGTAATTAAAATACACAAATACGTAGCTATAATTTTGCCTATTATGTAGATAGAGCGCATTTCCGAACTTCTTAACCTAAGGCAACTTATTAAGTTTACTTATCGAAATGGAACATCCAAAATTTCACAGAAAATAAGCAAGTTCGAATCGAAATTGAACATGTAAAATAGTAAACCCTAGGCCGATTAACAAAGGAAGATCGAAGAATTCATAGAGAACGTACCCATGGCGGTAAGCTGAATAGAAAAGGATTCCGTTAGAGGAGCGAAATGCAGAGACCTGGAAAGTGTATTTTAATAGCGAACAAGTTTAAACCAAAGTTGGCAACTATATATATATATATTTTAGAGAACAAGTTTCAAGCTTAAGAATTAGGTATTTGGGTTTGGGTTCTGTATTTTACCCGTGAAAAAGTTATTGAATAAACATAAACAATTCAAACACATATATTAGCTGTATTAATTTATTTTTTTAATGTCTTTTACTTGTTTGATCTTTTATTATGTCGTGTTTTTACAGCAAAGAATAAGGAAATTTGATACTAAACAACTTCATCCAACCTATTTTGTTCAATTGACTACAAGTTGGATCAAAATATAAATATTGTACTAAACTGATCACAAACTGAAATCACTTTGGAAGAAAAATTCAGCAACATGCACATTATATAAACTCACGAGGTCGAAGCTAGGCTTCACATGGCCATATTGATGATCAATTATCAATGATCCAATTCTTAATAACCTAGTACGAAAAAGTTACCCAACTTGCACCTTTAAATATTCTCAAGGAGACTTAAGATACAAAGGTAAATTTTCATTTTTCTCTTATAATAAAAGACGTTAGTGATGAAATAGGCACGTCTCTATCGATGTACTTGAAAAAAAATTAATTACGATTATAATTATTTTAGTCAAATTTTGGTTATGAATCACGATGATATTTTGTCAAAAAATATATTTATGTGGTTATTTTCTGGTTAAGAAAAATTTTGTTGGCTGAAAATTTGATCAGAATAATATTTATCTATGTTATTTTATTTTTATCCTTTTAATTAACTTTAATACATTTGAACTAAAAAAATAAAAAAGAAAAAGATAAATTTATTTTAAAACAAAAAATATTACTCCATATAATTTTTTATTTTTCTGGACAAATTCTAGCCAAATTTTCTAGTCATTTAACACTTCCTAATTGATTTAAATGCGACGATCAATTTTGCTATATATGCTTTCCCAAAAAACTTTAAACGAACCAGCTCATCTATAAATTTGTAAACGTAAATGTATTGAATGCAATTTTGGACAATAGCATGCATAATTAGGGCTGAAATTGTTACAACAGTACTAAGCCTAACCATATTTAATCCTAGCTCGATTTCATATTATTTGTCAAAATTATATTTTAAAAATCTGAATTTATTTTTAATATTAACAGATTAATAAAATTGAATTTGATTATTTTAATCCTAATTATCGTTAAATGTTGTTAATATGAAAAAAACAAAAAGATGCCTTCATTTCCATTTGAATATTTTAATTTTTTTAAAAATAAAAATACACACGTTAGATTGGTAAGTCATGTTAAAATATTATAATTGAGATGACCGAATGAGTCATATTGTTTTACGATTTTGAATCAATCTTAACATATAAACTAATTTTTTTACTTGAGTTAAACTCAATATTGGATTTTAACAATAAAATGAAGTACAGACTATAGTAATCATTAGTCAATATTTAAGATGAGGAGGACACATATATAATAGTAGGTTTTTTCGAATATTAGGTGAAGTCATGGCTTTCATAAATATGCTGACCAAGCTAGCTACAATATGGTCCTGAAAATGTTTTGAATTACACAACTTTACTAAACTGGCTAATAACGCTCAATTAATTAATAATATATTACGTAAAATAATAAAATTGCAGAACGAAACAACTGATGTGGTTAAATTAAGAAGACGTGGATGTGATATTTCCACACATAAAAGTTTGGACGAAAAACATAGCTTTTTTTTTTTATTCGGTGTTCAGAGTTTATATTAAAATTTTGATTAAATTTAGATTGCGCTCTACAAGGCTTATTTAGGAATAACACTCTTAACATATTTTTTTTCATACCAAAAATTTATATCCAAAGCCTTTAATTAAGCATAAAATACTTCAATTAATGTACCACAATCCAAAAATATATTAAGTTAGATTATCAATCGTTTATTCTTGCACTTGATATGCTTCCTCCGTTTCACGAGAAAAGTTTAATTTGACTTAACATGCAGTTTAAGAAAATAATATTTTTTTTGATCACGTGATTCTAAACTAAAGTTATATCAAATATATAAAATTTTACTTTAATTTTGTGACCTTAAATATACCTCGTAAAAATTTGTTACAAAAAAATCATTTTTTTTTAACAGACTAAAAAAAAATCGTTCTCTTTTAAAAGAAGGAATATATATAAATACAAACAAAAGGGATAAAAATGTACTTAATTAATCAACATTTACTATGATGAAATTACTAGGTTTTAAATGCTTTGGGGCAGATTAACCTATTATTTATTTATTATATAATCTACGTACCGAGCTCATGTAGGGACGAAGTTAGCCTTAGTTTGATAGAATTTTAGTTTTTATATATATTACTATATAAGATTCATTTATATTATATACGTATAAAAAAATATGTAAAACCCAAGAAATTAAAAAAAAAAGATTTAGAGCTTAAAAATTCAAAGTCTACCTTCGCTAAGTATTGCTCTCAACAATGTTCATTATCTAATCGTTAGTCATGCGAAATTGAATCGAAAATTAAACTAAATCGCAAATTGAGTCGATTCGGAAAAAAAATTAACTAGTAATTTTATCTGTTATTGAAAAAAAAATTGACAATATTTTGAGATGATTTGATTTTAACTAAAAAAAAACAATCCGACATTATATATGTTATTTTAAAATTTATTTTATACATAAAAACTTTTACTTTTATATAATTTTAAAATATTTCTTATAGTATTTCACAGTTTTATCTTTTAATAGTATATTATTTCAAGTTTAAAACTTAGAATTCGAAATGGTCCATTAAAAGATTATAGTTCATAGAAATTGATAATTATATTAAAACTAAAATCAAAATCAAATTAATATTAATACAAGAAGAAATCAATTTAACACTAAGAATGATAATAATATTGAGTATTTGTTCTTTACTTTTACATTATTAAAATATATAATGTAATTTTAATTTTCTAATGTAACTAATACTTATTAAACTTATTTTAGCATGATTTAGTACTTTTAAATTATGATCATTTTCATTATAACTTTACAATATTTATTTTATATGATGATTTCTTTATTATTTTTTAACGGAATATTTTTGTGTCATCAATACTAGTGTGTATTTCATTCTTAATTATTGCATTTGTCAGGATTTATTTTGGCTCTATGTACATTATTATTAATAACAGTTTCATGTAAGTGTGTATACATACACCATCGACCATGGTGACAAAGAATATGAGAAAAAAATAAGTGATTTATCTTTACCAAAAGTAAAATTAAGAAAAAAGGTGAAATTCGACATTTTATTATTATTTTTGTCTAATTTCACCTTTTTCTTAATTTTACGTTTTGTAAAGAAATTAGACATTGCTATCATGGAAAATGAGAGATAAAGGGAAGCACGTACAGAAAAATAATGAGAGGAAAGGGATGGCTTTAATTATGGTTTGGTGTTGGAGGTAAATAGAAAAGATAAATAGTATTTTTTTTTTCTTTTTCTTTTTTAAATACTGAGTGTGCTTTAGGATATATAGATTTAGTTGATTTGTTTTTCTTTTTTTTAAATAAAAAAAAAGTTTTTGAAGTTTGAAAATACTATTTGAAAGTTGGTTTATCTTTAAATATGCATTTTACTATGTTGAGAGAAATAGTAGAAGTTTTGTAAGTTTCTTTCCATGTGAATATATCAATTCATCAAAAAATTAAAATTAATAAAAAAATATATTTTATTCACTTAATTATATTCTCAATAATTAACCAAAGTCTACTTCTAGAAAGGAAAAAAAAAACAAGAAGGGTGACCATGATATTTCTTCTTATTTTTGCAAGTCAAATGACATTTTAGTGCATAATCTATGTCCAAATAAGAAATGTTTGGGATAGTCATTGATACTAACTATTTGATAGTAATTTTACTACTAATAATTATTATGTCTTAATTTAAGTAAGTTCGAAATGTAAATTCTTATTTCTTTCATTAATCTCATATTAATTATATCATTTCAACCTAATAAGTAAAAAAAGTTATTTAAAAATAATAAAAGTTCCACATGAATTAGCTAATATATATCCTATGAATATCACCAAGCATCAAAAGATCTCTCGAGACCTTGCTATCTTTCCATGTAATTTTATGTGTATTCTGTTTTCTTTTAAATTTTTCAAATCTATTAATCGATCTAATATCTAGGTCCACGCAAAACATGTCCACATTAATATGGTAAATTCAAAATTTGTGGTTACCATACATATATATATATACAATGAGAGAGATGATGATATTTATTCTTCACAAAACCCTAAAACCAACTTTAATGGGTGAGGAGAGGACAAAAGAAATACAGTTGGAAAGGCAATGACACCAAATTTACTTTTGTCATTCCATAATGGTGGACAGATTTTTTTAATACTATAGTGTATAGTATTATAATATTTTTGAAGAGTACCACATAGATAGTCAAATATTGTAAAAAAAAAGTACATGCTATAGGGTTTTGTTTTAACAAAGACAAGAAGGGAGGTGTAAATTTGTAGGTAACTTTGGGTGACAAGAGCATGTGATATGCATTCAAATATGTGTAAGAGAATCTAATCAATTTATAAAATCCAAAGGACTATATACACATTGGTTCCCGAGACTCATAATATAGTTATGGGTGAATGACCTTTAATGAGGGTTATAAAAGTGAATGACCTTCAATTTTTTCTTTTTCAATTTATGGGATGCTATAGCAAGGACACATAAATTTTAAGGTTCAATTTATGTGGAGGTATTAAAAATACATTGAAACAATAAATCTAGGTTTAACTTTTCCAAAATAAAAACTTTAATAGTATAAAATCAAGAGAAGGTGTTTATTGTGTATATTATTTGTGATGATATAGTATCAAATGAAGAAATATGTTGGTGGTTTGGAAATAAACTTTCAAGTTTTAGTTTCCGTTTGGATTGACTTATTTTAGGTGCTTTTATATCAAAATAATTTTTTAAACAAATTTTAAAGTGTTTTGGTAAAGTCAAAAAATATTTATAAATACTTATTTTAAAATGGAAATAACAAAAATAAGCAAAAAGTCATAAGTTAGAAATTTTAACTTACTTTTGATTTTTAAGTTATAAGCCAAACGTCAATTAAAACAGACTCTTAATATTGATTCAAGTTGAGCAAGACTGAGAGTACTTGAAGTTGAAGTGAAAGTTTAGTGACATAACATGAGAGATTAATGTAGAATACTGATACACAAGTGACCTTCAAGAGAGAAAAATTTAACTATCTTAATGAATCAATAGTTTATGGAAACAAAGTGATTGATGATAACGTTACATATCAAAATAAAATATGGTAAAATAATAGTAATAAAAGCTCACATCAAGTATCCATATGAAGAAAATATCGCCAAGACTTAAAAATAAGTTTTACGGATGATATCTAATTACTAGCTATATTGTATGTCATAGTATTGGCCGTCAAAAGCAAATTACACATTTCACACATCTCTAAGGATGAGAACCTAGTGTAAATGAGAATATTTTAAGTGGATATATGTTATATATTAAAAGTGATATGATTAAGAAACGAAAATATTTAAAAATGATATAGGAGTGACCTCCAATATAAACAAGACGAGAGAGAGAAGGAAGACTAAGATGTTTTGCATATTCGAAGAGATTATGTTTTGATGCCTTTGTCATGAGATGTGAGCATTTGGTTAAAAAGTATTCAAAAAGGTAGAAATAAATTGAAAAAGAACATAATATTTTTGTAACTTAACGAGGACGTGACACAAATATAATAATGTAGAAATCAAAATTAAAATAGAAGATTAGTAGATATTCGATTGTTGGCTAATTTTCCTTGTCAATATGATGGTAGTGTTACCTTTCTTCTATTACCACTATCACTTGTCGGATTCTTCCGATTGAGCTAATATATTTTTTTGTCATTTATTATGAACTAAAAAGTGGTTGGCTGATTAGTGAGGTCTTAAAAACGTCATAGAATTCATGATCGGCTATTTCATTTTTGCTTTCAGCAAGTAGGCGGTCTCGCTATTTCATTCCTGATTCTCTCTTTCAAGCTTCTTTCCATCCTGGAGATTTCTTCTCGTTCCGTCCGTTCTGCATAGTCATTATACTTTTTATTTATTATTTGTAATACGATTTTTTTATTATTTGTATTGTCTTTTTAAATTCGTTTTATATTGTTTTACTTGATCTAAAATCTTTTTGAAAACAATTTGTTTATTTTCACTTCTTAAAATTCTTTAGTAAAATTACATATATACGTTGTTATTTCTAAAATAAAATTTATATATTTAAAAATATAAAAAAATAGTGTAACTTAACGTAAATAATAATTTAAAATATTATTTTAAAAATGTGAAAATTATTTAAAAAGAAAAATAATTAATCCTAAAAATCGTAACACCTTCACATAAAATGAAAATATCAAAATTAATACAAATAAGATGAAATATAGCCATAAAATAAGAGTTCAATCCAATTTAATAAATTTAACTCATGTTCCTTACATACTCTATGTATTTTTGTAAAAATTCAAGATTAATTATTATCACTTGAAATCATTCCTTACCTACTCTATGTATTCTTGTAAAAACTCAACATTAATTATTAATACTTGAAATCAAAAGCTTCTAAAATTAATAAATTTTGAATTCATCTTTAAAAATAAAAAATAAGATAAAAACAATGCTAAATGACCAGAAAAATTAATTGGAATATGATCATAAATACAAATATCTATAATATTTTTTTCATTATAAAATAAACTAATTTTTTTATTTTTAATTAAAAATATTTAAAAATATAAAATAACATAAATAAAATACCATTCTAAACAAATTCTAACTAAATTTTCAAGTCAAAATGATTTTTCCATAAAATACCATGGTCAATTCTTGTGTGTGAATGTGATTAAAAATATATCCTAATAGATTATAGAGCAAAGAAAATAAAAATAAAAATTAGCCCCAATCCCCAATGTTACTCCATCTCCTATACCACTATATATACAACCCCTCTCCTCCATCATTTCTCACTTCTCTCATTCCTTAGCTCATCTACCAAAAGTTATTTGGTTTCTATTTTCAACAAAATAGGTCCTAAATTTTTTTTTCTCTTTTGAAATATATAGATAGATCCAAAACTCATGTGAGTTTTTGTTATCTTCATTTTTGGGAAGTATTAGTATAAGATTAGGGTTTTTGTACATATGTTGACTTGATATTATTTTATGTGTTATGGGAGTGGAGCTCCTTGAAGTCCAACAGAAGATCTAACAGGTTAGATTGAGCTGCTGACCTATGGATTCCTCAGCCCTATCTATTTATGATTTCAAACATATAGATAGGTTTGTGGGTTTGCATATGTCAGGAGCTTTATTTTACCCTTTGTTTGATCATTTTTTGGATTGAAGGGAGCTCTACATTCATTTCTTCTTACTAGTTTAATCTATGTTGGTAAATTAATCTACTCATATTATACTTTAGATCTAGTTTCTTAGATTTTATAATCTAGTATGTAGATCTTATTTTCTATTTCTAGCTACTGTTCAAATATACATATATATATGATTTTGGATAAATTTTTAAAATTTTTGATGGTCTGTTTTAATAGATCTGATTTTCCTATTTCAGGCTTCTGAAGAAATGTTGGATTTAGATTTGGGTTTGAAGTGTTTCAGCGCAGCTTTTATCGTTTGTCTAGATTTGAGTTGTGGAAGATAATATTTTAGAAACTGAATTTTTACAGTTGTGTAAATTGGGAAATACTTGTTTGTTTTTTACTTTTTGACTACATTTACAGTTACATTTACGTATTTATTCAAGTGTGTACATATTAGTTTTGTTAAATAAAATAAAGTGAAATTCATTAATTTTATTTTAATCTTTTTTTCATTAGGTTTAAGAGTCTAGGTTATTGATAGCTACTTTCTTGATTCTTGATCTTTGTGCAAATTAAAAGCTACGTTGCATTAATTAATATTGTGACAGGTGTGTGGAAAAAATGTAGCGTACGTTCTTTATTTTGAATCTTATCTCTGGGAAGATATTTTTTATTTTGAAATTTGACTTAAATCAATCATTGCTCCTACATTTAACTTAAAAGATTAAAATAGTTTTTAGGATGAATATAAGATTAAACTTGAGAATTTTATATGAATATATATCAATTATGTTTAAATTATTTGACCGCCAACAGTTTTTAATAAATTCAGTATCTGTTGTAAATGTTCATTTTTATATATTTCGACTTAAACTAATCATTTTTTACTATAAAAAATCGTTTCAATTTCTATTTAGAATGATTAGAAATGAAATAAATATTCACATTGCAGTAAAAATGTTATGTCGCAATGTGGCGAGATTTGTTAAATATTTTAGATGTTAAAAAACAATTATTTGTTAAAATCATGGGCTCTTTATAAAAAAATAATTAATTTGCAATAATTTTATAGTTAATTCATTATAATAATACGACTGAAAATTAGTAGTAATATGTACATTTTTTTTTAACTACTGCAGGAGCTAATATTTATGCAAATACCTAGTTTTATGAAATAATGAACGCCGATAATAAGCAAAATAAGATTAATTAGATCATAAAAACTTGTTTTATTACGAAGAAACAAATGTTGTTTTAACATTCCTTTTGATTTTATATCATTATTAACTAATCTTGACTTCTTTTACAAAAATTTGCACCAAATATTTTTTAACTAAAAGACAAATCTAATATCAATTACTTATCTATCAAACATTAAATACTATTAATAATTGCTTTCCCCGTTTCATAATTTGATAATTTGAAAATAGAATGCCCTACTATTTTCACTTTCAACATATTAAGTAAATCAACTAATTTTTTTTGTTTTTAACCAGTAACATTAATAATATATATTTTTCCCAAATCATTGGTTAAATTTGAAACTATACTACCAAAATATTAATCATGATCTTTTGTCTTGTATGTAGTAATTTTTTAAAACGATTATCTAAATTATTTATCATTTTAAAATTTAATTATTATTTTACCATATTACTCTTTAGTGAAGTACAATAATTGTTTTGAAGATTACACACACTTAAATTATAGAAAACTAACGACGCATAAATAAAGTAGAAATTTAATTAAGTGATGTTAGTATATTTTTTAATAAATGAACGAGGGTATTTAACAAGATTACATAATCTTCCAGACTTCTTAATTAATGTTTGATTATGTAGCGTATAAAAAAAGGGACAAATAATATAATTTAATTAGGAGCAAATACAAATTACTTCTTTTTAGTGGTAGAGTACCTGTCTAAGAGCCTATTTGAATTTATTTAAAAGTCGATTAAATCTATTTTAAGTAACGGTTAGTTTTTAATAGTAATTGACAAAGTTAAGAATAACTTGAATTAAGCTTAAAATGATTTTTTAAAAGTTAATAGTTAAAATTAGATACTTTTCGTCTTTCAACTTGAAAGTTACTGTTATCTCTGTCCACTTTTAATTGTCATGTTGTGCTTTTCAAAAGTCAATTTTACTAATATTTAATATTAAATTAGATTACATTAATTTGATATTTTAAAAGAAAAAAATTCGATATTCAAAAACTATATGAAATATTATAAATTATAATTTTTTGTCTATTAATATGATAAAAATATGTCTTAAAATGTAGGTCAAAGTTCTTATAATTTGACTCTAAAAACGAAACCAATGACAACTAAAAGTAGATGGACGTAGTAAACCATAAGAAAATAAGTGGACGGAGGAGGTAAACCATGACAAATAAAAATTCTTTTTGGCACCAGAATGGTAAAATAACATATTTCACACTGTCATTTTACCTTGAACATTTTTACCCTTTTAATTAAAAAATAAAAAAAGATCAGTTCAATTTAAAATAAAGAGGATATTATATACTTTTTAACTTTCTGGCTAAATTTTAATTGAATTTTCTTACCACGTAGCATTACCCATTTTAAAAAAACTATTTTAGAAAAGCTACATCTTTTAAATTAAAGGCAAACGGGCTCCAAGTCTAACCAGTCCTATGAGCATTGGAACCATATATATTCTCAATCTAAAGGTCACAAATCCTACTTGAATAAGACCACTTTTTTGTCCCTTTTGCTTGATACGTTCCAACTATTTTTCTTTCTAAAAATAAAAGAGTTAAAAGTGGATCCTCTAACTTCTTTTTAAAATTATTCATATTTGGGCATCTTTTGATTCTGCCTAACAGTTGTAATTAGGAGTCCCTCAGGTGCTTCACCACTTGTAATAACGTGATTTACATTATATTACGAACCCCCTTAATCAGAGGTATAAGGTTCGAACCTCCTTAATTGGATTCTTTGCTAGTACTCAATACCGGATGTTAAACAAAAAAAATAAAATAAATGAACATACGAAATGAATAAATTTAATATCAAAATATGTTTACCTGTATAAAAGAGATAATAAATTGAATATTGTTGTTCCTGTTGTGATTTGAAGATAAATTTATCAAGTAAATCCCTTTATACATACGAAATTAAGTTGGTGAGTCTATAGTTTAATGAGTGATTGGAATCTTTTATACATTCGAAATAGGTATCGCCGCCGCTTGCTGACCATTTAAATTATCTTAACCGCTACAGTTACAGCTGCTAAATGGAGAACTTGTTTATGAAATTCTTAATATTAATGAAGATGGAATCTTGAGCAATAAAAAGAAAGAAACAAAAGCGAGTCATCTAATGGTGATATTGGTTCTTCCGCTGAGTTGAAAAAAGTCGTCTTTGAACTAAATTGGGTCTGCTTCCAAGTCGGATCATTCACCAATTACATGTTCATAAATAGAGCTGTTACCAAGATAAGGAAATGAACATGTGCACAAAGAAATGGTCCATACAGAGGGGCAAGGCAATGCGTTTTTCCACACTGGACACATTCCTCACCAGGTTTGTAAAGCAATGCCTAACAGAATATTGCCAACAAAAGACATGGTCAAACCTCATCACACTGACCTAAAGCGAGGACTTCAAACCTTAGAGCAACTTCTCCAGCTTAGTCCAGCAGCAGCAAATCTTCATGATTAATGGACCTACACCTACATATTCCCTTCACAATATTAGTTCCGACAATTCTCACACACATCTTAGAAATTGACAAGAGAAAGAAGGAAGCATGGCCTACAGCCTCTGTGATTAAACATAAACCCCCAGCCAAACCCAATTTTTGTAGTATCATCATCTTCCTCCACGGGGTTTTATAAAACCTTGTCTATGCAACCTGAATTTTGCTAAGGAAATATGATTCCAGGAATTGGTTTTTTCATGTCTGGAAATGGAAAAAAAATGATGGAATTTTTCTTTTTAAAAATTTGTTACATTATTTTATAGGAAATTGAAAAGATCAGAACATTGCAGATCATAGTTTTTTTTGTTCTCTTTTTCTTATCTTCTTTCTCATCTCACACAATTGGCTCTTTAACTTATAGAATTGTAATTTTTTATTTCTATTCTGCACTCCCCGTGTCATACTTTACATTCATCTCAACCATCTAATTCATTCTCCATTTCCTTCAACCTAAATCACCCTTGTACCTCCCCCACTTTTTTATCTGATTGCCCCCTACATGTTTATATCATTGATAACTAATCCAGAGATAGAAACTAAGCATAACATAATAATAGCGAAATCAATACCTCATAATTCTGCATATGGCATTTTGCCATTCTCAACATTAGCCTCCAAATTCCAGCCCCTGCCGTAAAAGAGGTTAATATCTTAAAAGCTAGCCTATTAAAACCATAAAAGGCATCAATGATATGCAATAAAAAACCGACCTCTCTTCAGCCTCCTTCTTCAGTTGTTCTCTGTGGTCTTGTAGTTCCCCACATGCAGATTGGATTTCTATATTTTTCAGACAGAGCTCTTTCCATTGCATGGACAACGCATTGAGCTCATATGCAGTAGTTTGCTGTTATGCAATGGCGAACAGATCAATAAGAACAATGCAAAACACTACAGAAACAGATCAGTAGTGATACAAGATACTTATACCTGATGATATTTCCTTTCCCTGTTTGCTGTTTCTATCATTTCATTCAGTTCAGCAGCTTGTGATTGCATTCTGCAGAAAATTAGTTTGATATCAGCCATGGAAGGGATGCAGAGGAGAAAGGTTGAGCAATCATGCTCTTTTTGTAAGAGGCATAATAATACTGTGCAGAACTGGTTCCAGTTGTGTAAATACAGTGATAAATACTTCTCCCTTTTGAATCAACATTGCACCAGCAGTGAAGAGGGGAAATTGTTTGATCATATCATATTCTTTCCTTAAGTAGCAGTACATTGTTAAGGATGAGATAGCTGAACAATAACAACTACCCCTTTGTCCCAAACAAGTTGGGCTCAGCATCAGTAAATTGTTAAATAAGGATGCCAAAATATGCCATATTAGAGCACCATGAAAAATATAAAATTAGAAAAAGAACCTGGCTAGAAATGCCTCCAGTTGTTGATTGTACAGCTTCCACACATCAGGACCATGCTTTGACATTAGATCCAGATTTTCTAGCCTATAAAATATCAAGGTTAACTTTTGGTTACAGAAGCAATTAGCACAGTTGCGCAAAACAAAAAAAGGGGAAATTTTTTAACCAAAATATATCGAAGGCATGAATGTTTCAGTAGCAAAGTACTAGATGCCTCCATATACAGGTAGGACATAGTGATGTAAAAAACACTTTTCCTGATTAACAAAAGCTAAGTAAAAAGCTTTGGTAACAAAGTGACAAAATTCACATGTCTTCTGTTAGGATATGACCTGCTGAAGCTGATAGTATATAAAGTTCTCCAGAATCCTATTTCATTGAAATATATACAAACACACTCCCCAACACGTGACAAATAGTACTATGTTTCGCCACTCGTCTTGCAGGCTTTTGGATTCGGCATAGAAGCCAAAACAAACATAATGCTTCTTAATAAGAAGTTACTTGAAAAATGCATTATGGAATCACCATATATTAGCTATTCCTTTGAAAAAAGTACTCTTTATCATGCTTCACTGCAACATCTATTTTATTAAACCTTGTAGCCTTACAGACTCCATTTCTTTTGCATTTAAAGATAATTGAGAAACTGATACAAAAAGTTTCTTCCTACCAATAAAGGTTATCAACTATCATGTGCTATATCTAGATTACAGACATATATATACTAATTGTTGGACAAATGCTTTGATCATAGAAAAAGAGAGCTTAAACTGAGAACCATGAGTATATAATTAGCAAAGGGAACTCTCACAAATACCACCTCTATTTTCACCTCTGGATACAGGTAGCCTACCTGATTACTTGATGCTGCAGTAATCGCTGAGCTTTTTGAAGAGATTGTTTCCATGCAGTTTCATCATTGCGTTTGTTCACAGGCGGCACCTCAAGTCCATATCGTGAAGTATCTATTTGTACTGGAGGTTTTCCAGCTCTCACCCGCTCATATTCCCTCGCAAGCATAGGATGATTCTAAAACAAATTCATTCATTAGATGAGCAAAAACCATGGCCACATCAAGCAGTTACCAAATCAACACAATTCAAGACAAAGTAGCAATTGTAATCCTTCAATAAAGCTAATTCTTATGGAAAACATGAGTACTTCAAAAAAAATGGAACCCTAGAATTCACATTGAAAAAAGTTGAAGAGAAGAAGTATAGGCAAGTATAGATTGAAACCTCGAAGTTGAATTTACGAAGAGGAGGGAGGTTTTTGAGGAAATCGGAAGGTTTTTTGGAGCTGCGGCGCATCTCCTCTTCGACCAAACGGTCCACCTCTTCTTTCACATTGGGATCACCGTAGTCGTCATCAATGTACGGCAACGCATCTATCACTTCCGCACTACTAGACACCGCCGGACGATACTCCGGCGGGGCCTCTAGCATCAAAATGTCGCCGTCTTTTGTCGCCATTATTGCTCGGACCTTCTTACCGATGTGTAATAAGCCAGCAGCGAGTATAATAGCCCTGACTGAGGAGGGAGCAATGTTTATTCTTTTTCATTTTATAGGTTATTCTTTTTCTTCCCATTTTACCCTTGTAAATATCCCAAAGTCCCCAATAGGAAATAGAGCATATTTTTTCTTTTATCTTTTTTTTTTTAGTTTCGTTTATTTTTGCTTCTCGATAAATAGATCTTTATTTTTATTTTTAATGTTAAGTTATTTATTTTCCTAATTATTAAAAATATCTAGCACTTTATTTTAGTTGTCATAATATAATTTAATATAACCGTTAATAAAAAAAATATTAAGGAATGTTGTTTGACCAATATATCCCTTAATACTTCTTTAATCTTTATTTATATATATGTCTTTTAATTCTAGAATAATTAATTTCAATGGTAAAGTTGAAAAATTATAATTAATTCTCTTTTAATTGTGTAACACAACTATTTTGTTACAAGTGTTTATAGTATACCTAACAACTAAAAGAAACAGAAGAAATATTAAATAGAAATAATTATATAAAATAACAAACTGTTAATCTAAGTTAAATGTTATAGTCATAGTTTATTTTAATTGTAATTTGCACCGAACTTTTCCTTTTTTGCCATATAATTTGATATATAGCTAGCCATTTTCGGTATACAATTAATCATTTTATACATTTCGACATAAAATGTATAAAATGTGTTTTTATTTGTATAAAATGAGAGAAAAATATATATACAAATACAAATGCAAATATTTTTGCTATAAACTTATAATTATAAAAATACAGATGTTATTATACAAATTATAATATATAAATGAATTAATACAAAACTGAACAATTTTTATAAAATTGGATGTCATACAAATCAAAAGCTTTATATCAAACATAAAATTTGTTATGAAGCGCAATTATGCAAACTATAGTTATAACATACAAATATAATTTTTATGTTTGCTATATATGAAAATTGCTCTATTAAATATCAGTTAATATGAATAGAATGATCTGATATTTTCTGAATGAGCATGTTAAATTCAAAAATGATAAGTAGAAATAAAAAGAGAAAGTAACTTTTATCATTCTTATATTACGGTATTTAAAAAAATAGGAAAAGTCAGGCTATAAAAGAATAGTATTGACATATAAGTCACTTCCAAATGAAAGTATAGATTAGCTAAATATCCTTATAACTCTAAAAAAAAAAAACACTGTAATTACACTCTTTATCATTTCAATTACATTATGAGATCACTCTTCAGTTCCTACGATTTAAAAGTAAGTATATGTTACTTTCTTAATTGATTATATATTTTGATTATCTTGATAGTTTAGGATTTTTGAATAATAAAACTAAACTAAACTACTACGTTTATCTTGTAATTTTAATTTTTTTAGTAGGTGAGGACCATGAAGATACTGGGAAACATTCATCATTAATCTTAAAGCAAGCTGCTAGGTGCCTAATACCTTGTCACAAAGCATAAAAATTCAACTATCATTAATTTCGCCGTCAGTACTGTTCTTGATGACAATAATAACGATTAAACAAAGATATTAGGCAGATTCACTTTATAATATTAAAGTGAGACACGGAAAGTATTCCTCAAATTCATGTAACAACATGTGATAACACTGCTTCTTAGTAGTATTTTTTATTTCTTTAAATTTCGTGTTCAGTCAAACAGTACGGGAGGAGACTATTGTTATTATATATAAAAAGGCTCCTCCTATGACTGAGTATAGCTACTTGAGAAAGCAGAGGAGAGAAGGAAACTGTTTAGTCCAACCCAAGGTGGGGTATTGGAACTGATCTTTGCTGCTGAATCATTGGCTCATGAGCATGTCAAAGAAGATGATTGAACATTCTGGACATGTTCTTGCTCCAATGATGCAGGAGCTGAGCTCGGTTTTTCACCGCCTTTTCTTGGACTGAAGGGTTTCCTTCCCTTCTCTTTAAGCACTGTAAAAATAACCAACTGATCATGAATGGCTGATCAACTCATCAGGAGGAGGTATTTACACAGTCAAGTTCCAGTATACTCAAAATGAAGGTACACTTAATACACAAGTACAATCAAGCAAGCAAGAGAATTCAACAAAGCTTTAAGCTATTAAATTCAGCAGATGAAATAATCACTGTGTGACAAATTTTAATACTCATAAGCAATACTGTGGTAACAGGTAGAATGAAACTTCACCAGAAAATCTTCAGTTTTCTTATTTTTGTCCATATTTTAACCCTTGAAGGAGCTAACAAAATGCTACATGTAATCTTTTACATCCACACCGACCGCTGAAGCTACACAAGAATACAACATGTCCTACACTATGAAGCTGGTGTGCTTGCATATAACAAGGTGAAGAACATTTCAACTTCTGGCATGTTTTGGACAATTTGGATGTATCTGTCCCTATTGGATTCTTCAAGCAGGATGCGACTCATATGAGCAAGTCGTGGTATAAGTTTAGCTAATGGAATACCCAATTTTAAATTGGTTTCTCCACACAGGACCTTTATGTCTTCCATCATCACATCCACCACTGTTTTGAGTGACATATCCAGAATATTCTCAAATTCAGAGCTGCACAACAAAAGGATAAGTAATCAACCAACAGAATTGCCAAAGGAATAAATATTAGAAACAAATACTTAAAAAGTTTGTCAATATTGAATACTGTCAGGCATCAATTTAGAGGTAAAGAATGAAGACATGCTTTATCTGCTGCGTTCAGTTCTAAACTTATCTTTACAACGAACACAGCACTCAGTCCCTTTAATTTTTTTATTTGCATTTTAAAACTATATTCCCTCTTTTATTTTTTGGTGGGAGTAGGAAGTTCAGTCACTTGTGCTCAAAGCAGCATGAAAAGGTGAAAATAGTTCCATTATGTGCTACAAAGCAACAAAAGATGTCAAAGTTTGGGTTTTCAGCGTGATATCGATAAAGTCTCAATGTGCACATAGTTGTTTCACATTCCAGATTAATATTCCCCTAGTACCTCAAGCTTTATAAAATTTGTATCTCAATATACTGAAGAACTAGTACCAAGCTGAATCTTTATTAGCAACACGATGGGAAAAGCAAACAAAAGTACCTTGACAAAACGGCCTGTGCCTCCAGCATAAGTTGTTCAAATTTGGATGCAGGTGAAGGTTCTGTTCTATCACTGCTAGAGGTAGCAGCAGAGTTATATAGTTTAGAGTGCTCTGGCATTAAAAAGCCCATCCAGTGATGAGGGCTTCCCATGCTCAGAAAGGCGGCCAATATCTGCAGAATGGTATCATGAAGTACAGTTGTGTTGAAGAAATCCTTCAACTGTTTTCTGCAAACCAAAAGATCAGTAATTTTTGTAAGACACATTTTGGCAAGATATAGATAATTTCAAATAAAAAAATTATATGACATATGCAATGCTATGGTTTAAGAAGGTCAATCAACTGCCATCCATCCACTAAATATGTTCAATTCCAAGAGGAAAATGTTCCAACACATTGCGCCTTCCAAATAGCATGTGGTTTTGTACCATACATCGATTTAGAGACATTTTCTTAGTGAACACCCACAGACCCTGCATGGTCCTATGCATGGTTATATGACCTAGGAATGCACGTGCATGGTTTCTTTGCTTGGGGCTTCATATGCAGGTTAAAGGTTTGATTACCCTGTATACTGAGGGGGGATTATTTGACCCTTTTCATTGTCCATTGGATTAGAAGGTTGGTTATAAATAATCACATTTTGATAGCTCAAAAGACTCCTTGCTCAATAGTTAGTGTTTTTATGTCGATTGGCTTCCAACTAGTCATCCATTTATAGGCAGCTATAAAAGAAAAAAAGAGGGTGGTGCATCTAACTTCTACCCTCTTACATGGTAAAACTACAAAAGAAATATAATGTAGAAGAATTAACACACAAGCTATGTGATCTACTGTTTGCACCAATGATTCAGGATGTGGTTCCCAGATCGTAAAATTTAGGTATTTTGAATCTGTTGTCAATCTCTCGTTTCTCTCTATCTAGGTGTGCGTGTGTACATATTAATCTAAAATTTTATAAGAACTTCATTGCTGTCTGATGGAAATTCCATGCTTTTTAAACATACATAAGTTTGATTCTTCAAACTTTCGCAGGCAATTGTTCTGGAATTGAGCAGTTTTGTTCCGAAATTTTTTACCTTTTGACTCTCTTTCGTTTACTTTTTTTTCACAAACCCAATGTGTATTATCCCTCTCTCCCATGACCTTTTTGTTAATGCATAACAAACGCTCAAACTTGGCCTCAGCTGGTAAGTAAACACTAACTTTGAGCCTGAACATCTAGACACCAAAACTCGGTCTAAACTGGCAACTAAACAATCCAACTCGTCCTCATTATGTCTTGTGAACACTCAACGCTGTGATTAATTGGGGGTGTCTAGATTATAATTTGTAAGTTGGAGCATACGACTGACAGTCTGACACAAAGCAGACAATGACACATTGGAGACGAGTTGAAGTGTCTAGATGTGCATACTTAAAGTTGGGAGTGTTCACTTGCCAGTTGAGACCAAGTTTGAGCAATTGTTTATGTATTATGCCTTTATTTTCTCCCTCATCTTATCATCATTTCCAGCCTACAATAGTTACACATCAATGACAGAATTTCAATCTCCACCTTGTTGCACTCCAGCAGATATTCACAAATCATCACCGCAATATGTTGAGCATTAATTTTTTCCAACCTCTTGTATCATGCCCATCTTGATTTTATCCTCATTAGAAATCAATTATCATAAGTAATATCAAACTTTAAAGTATGGCTACACAATGATGGCAAAAGAAAAAGGTTTTCTCTTTTACAAGGACAGCAAAAGAAAAACATTGCGATTGAAATTTACAAAAAAAGGGCCTATGGCTTTAATCATTTGACTCTTTAATGCGTAAGTTTTCATTATATAGGTTTGGCCCTGATAAGTTTCACTGCAACTGAATATTGAAACAAATGGAAAAGCGCGCGGGGGGGGGGGGTCATTAAAATGGAAACGAACCAAGCGACCCACTAAACTCTAGAT